CCTCCTTCACTGCGTTGCAAACTTCTGACTGAAATTATAATACCCTGCAAGGGTATAAAAAGGTGTCAAAAACTTGAAGACGATTTTTTAAACAAATAAAATTAATACATTTTAGAAATCAATTTTCACTTAATTCTTTCACAACTTTATGTGAGGTTGGAATAAACCCAAAGAATTTCAACTTTTGTTTCGCAGCATTTTCATGGGAACTATATGTAAATGTCTTCCGTTCCTTTATATTTGAAAATTGTGATTTTAAAAATGTAAGATATATATGTTTTTGCTGGAGAATAACAAATCAATTAATATACAAAATACAATGATTTCTTATCCGCTTTAGAAAAGAGGTCATGCCATGAAATTATCCATGAAATGGTGTTCAAGGAGAAATCTGATTCACGCCCAGCCGAACACCTCGACGAACATGAATAAATAAGGGAAAGCCTTTCGCAGAGCAGGCACGACTACTGTGGAGATGATTTTCCACAGGACGCATTTGTCGCCCGAGATTCTCGTTACTCTTGAATAAATCTTTTTTGGCCGAGTTTAATGTCTTCTTGCTTCCCTTGCGAAGCCACAGCCAAGTGCTGTTCGCTCCATGTCAAGCCAAGTTTTTGCCGCTGGCTGCTGTTGGCACAGCGCGTTTTTCAATTTCGCATAATGGAAGTGCCGAGCCGCTGTTGTTACCGGCTGTGTAATTATGTTTTCATTTGGACATCAAATTTAATAGCGCCAGGCATAGAACAAACTACTTTCGTTTTGTTGAATCGGCTGATTTTGATTTGATGGAGTGGCACTTATAAAGCACTTTTCCCGGCCAGGCCACACTCGCACAGCTCACACGCACTCCCATTTATTTGCACGTTGCGTGTGGGCAGAGACACCACTAGCAACACTGGCAACCCCCGAACACAGAGCCCCCCCCCAACCTGGGGGCAACAGTCAACGACGAAAAGCAACAGCCACCAGCAGCAGCCTGGTGCCCGGTGCCCGGTGGGTCAATCGGAAAAAAGGAGAGGAGCCCAGTGTCCGAGTGTCCGAGTGTCAGAGTCAAGTCCACGTAAATTGTCAATAATGCTGCTTCGGCATTGTTGTTTTCCACTTTGGCTGTGATTTGATTTCGACCCGCCGCACCCCACAGCCACAGCCACTGAAAGTTCCACTTCCACTTCCACTGCCAATGCCAGTGCCACTTCCACCTCCAGCCCACCGCCCAGCGCTTATCGCCGACGCTTGTTGACTTTTTCCCTGGCTCTGTTTATGCCAATAGCTTTTGGCCGAAATGTCACTTTTTTATTGTCTTTTTATGAGCGCAGCGTGTCGTTTGGCTTTTTCCTCCCGTTGTTTCGCCTCGTTTTGGCTCCGTTACGGCTCTGCCCCGGCCATGTTGTTAAACGTGCGACGCAACTTTCGATTAACGAAAATTATTTCACTACTTTAGTGCCCGAATGCGGGTCTTTGGTCTTTCCCCTGGCAGTCTCTATTCAGTCTATCTGGGAGGGAAGGGCCTTGCGAAGGAAATTGACTGAAACGATTTAGTTTTTCTTTTTTTCAGACGGGCTTTGAATTCCTTTTTGCACACGCTCCTCGAGCCACTCAATTGGCCAAGTTAGACGGTGGCATTTTATATTTCTGCTTGGTGCTGAGTAGATTTCTAAGGTAGCATAACTGTGCGCCCAGCATTTCAATTGCAGCCTTTTGATAAATGGCCAGCCGGCAGACAGGTGGCATCGCAGCACTTTCGTGGCCCGAACTACATTTGACGACCGCCGAACAGTGGGAACAATTACCAATTTTTGTTCATTTCACATTTTATAAATTTAATGTTACATAAATCTTCTTAAACGAAGTATGAGTAATTAAAAATCTATATCTGTATTTTTGCAGTATTGTTGGTAATTATATTAGTAATTTTTACTTGTTAGCTTTGAGAAAATAAATAAAAATGGGTCATAAAATATGCATAAATAACTATTTATATTGCATGAATAAAATAATAACATACGAAAAAATATATTATTTGAATAAAAGAATGTTCAAGTCTTAAGGTTCCGTTTCAAGATTCTTATGCCCTACAAGGTTCACTGTTTTCTTATTATTTTTGGAACCTTGCTTCTTTTACGCACACCACTGTACATCGTGGGTGAAAATGGCCAAAGAGGCATTCAGCTTTCGCCCATTTGAAAGCATCGGCACAAAAGTGGCAGTCAGTAGCAGGCCCAGTCAGCGTGTAGCCTACACCTAAACAAGTTTTTGCAAAACTTTAAGTTTTCTTTAAAATAAGCCTCAAAACTAACCCAAGATATGTTTAGCCCAAATCTTATTAAAATGCCTACAAACAACCTCACACTCTGTGCTAAGTTTAGCTAGAGAGATTATATTCGAATTAAGCTGAATTAAACGTATACATATATTATATTTGAATTATTACGAATATATAGAAGTGCCATAAATGCTATATATATATATACTTTGGTATATCGCGAAATATTAGGTTAGATCAAACGATTTTTAATCCTGCAAAATGGATTTAAATTGAACTGATTTCTAATGCGACATCCAAGGAAGTAAATGGTACTTAACAATTTTAGTTATTTCCAACATATGTTTTTAAAATATTCGCTGATTTCCACAAGCAAACTAAAGTTAATTGTTTCAGAAAAAGTTCAATACAAGGAATCATATTCACTATATATAGCTCAGAGCACATCTTTGCTTTAAGTTTTTCAGTGTAGTTGCAGCTACGCCTCTACTGAGCTTATTCAAAAAGTTGCTCAAAAGACAGCTAGCTCAAAAAAAACCTCAAAATAATTTTGTGGCGCAAGGTCAGCGCATGGTTCTTTAAGCATCTTGCAGAGGCCCCACATTTTCTATGCCCATGGCTCTGGCGGAGCGACACAGATTACGTGCCTGCCGCATTTGTCATGCCCCTTGCAACTTGCGGCATGCAAATACCGTGCAGCTCCAGCTCAACTCGGCATCGGCGATTGGGACTCCGCTTCCTGTCCCACAAGCTTCAGAGCTGGGCATCTTTCACGCCTCTCCCTGCTAATTTTACTTTCGAACCGAGAAAAAACTCCTACTCAGAGGCGGCCACGCATGCGTCTCACGTAGCTCATTCACGTTCGAGCGGCGGTCTCTGGTCTGTGAACTTTCGTGAAAGTTCTGCCCCGGTAAGTGCATAAATCTTCCAGCCAGTGGCCGGTCTCTGGGATCGGGCAACTGGTAACTGCTCCGGTGGATGCTATCTAGACAATCGCTTCCCTGACTACTTAGCGGTTGTGTAGCCCAAACGATTTCCCACATCAACGGCGGGCGGCATTGTTCTGCTTACGCATAAATATGAACTTCATGTTATGAAGGTAATAAAACTTAAATTATGCCGAGAGCATCGCGGCGTCTGGCCGCTTTTGTGGGTGCGAATTGGGATCTGGTTCTTGCCGCTGGTCGAGCGATCTGCAATGCACCTAATGGCTCCTCGGGCGGGCAATAATGTTAATTACGAATTATTGACATTTGCCAGCGCAAAATCTTTGGCACTTCTTCCTCGTCTATAATTTGTTTATTTTATAACATCTGCAGCTGCGCCAGCGGCAGCGGCAAGTGCCACACACTCATAATGAGGCATTATGAACGCGTTCGTCGCCGCATTAAAACAAACATAACAACTACGTGACTAATTATGTTGATATCAAACTGTTGCCCCTCCACTGCCTCGCCGCCTTCCAGTAGTTCATTCTGAGCGAGTTTATGCGAGTGCAAAAGAAAGTGAAATTAATGTTAAATACGCGTGGAGCATTCGGTGTCGGAGCTTAGGAACAGTTCGGCCAGGTTCCTTAGTCCGCGGAACGTGTTTCTGTACTAGTTGAAATAAATTAACAGCCAGCCCAATGAGCAGATTAACGACTGTAAGCTAAGAAATATTTCCAAGCTCATGTCTACCTTCTCTGGTGCAAGCTTCATTTCACACAATTTTATTTCAGAAAAGACCTTGCAATAACAAGGATCGTAATGCCCATGCATTTCAAGTGTCCTTTCTCTAGCACAAATATCCCTAGCGTAAATATCCCTAGGTATAGATCTAGAATGCATTCAAATAAGGGTGCATGGAAGTTATTGTACCAGAGAGCGCTCTTTCCGAGGTACAACTGTAAGAGAATCAGCAATACAAAATGCGAGTACAACAAAATCGCACACAAAAATGTAATTTAAACTTAGAGCCAACTTGAAATAAACGTAAAAGAAGAATATTTTGCATTAAATATTACCATGTTAAGGAAATGTTTATTGTGAACTGGATACTCTCGTAAAGCTATCTTTCTTATTTGCCTTGGAACCTATCCAAATGAACGCAATAACTTTTTCTGTAATACGCAGCCAGAATTTTCACCGAAACAACAGCAGAAAGATAGCCACCGAAATGCACATAAAAAATAGTTGCACGTAATTTAGTATAAGACGACGACAGAGACAGAAACCGAAAATGAAACTACTTACAACGCGAAACCCGAAACCCGAAACCCGAAACGGAAACTAAAACGCGACCAGACAATAAAAAAGTGAAAAACCTGATGCAAATGGGCCCTGGCGGTGTGCATGAGAAAAATAGGTATAACCTAGCAGAAATTTGTCGATGACAAAGTGGAGAATGAAAGCCGAGAGTGCGTAATTAATTTCACTTTTCATCGCAGTCCAGCGAAGAATGCTAAGCAGGCACCGGTGCCCACTTAAGGGGAATTGGTTCCACAATCTGAGCTGGCCAGGGGTCAGGGCAGCGGCTGAGTCACCCGGGGCGAATGCGTGATCCACAGTGTTTGCGCTAAAAATAAAGTGGCAAGTGCTAAATTTAATAAAAAGCGAATATATCAAAATCCTGTCAAAGGCCATTTAAGTCCCGACGCAAACAGACACGCACACGGCCTCCACACACACACCACACACCCAGGCGCTGTGCACACCCACACAAAACCTAAAACAACAACCAACGAGGGGCACAACTGATGTGCGGTTTTGGTTTCATGGCTTACGGTTTTGATTGCTGCCATCGCTCAATTGATTTTTCACTAATGCCATCGATTGGCAAACCCAAACCGAAATAAAAGTGAAATGCAAAGCATTAAAAAAAGCAGAACTTAAACGCCAAAATAAACAATTTGTCAAGCCGATGTGTGCGTGTGTGCGCGATGTGTGTTTGAGCCAAACAATTCAAAAAATCGACGAGAGATGAAAGAAAGGAATGAGCTTATGTTTGACATGAAATTAAATCGCTCGCCAAATGGGAAAACGCTCCAGGGCGAACAATAAAACTAAAATAGGATTAGTTGCGGTCTGTGCTTAATTTCTCAGTGTGAAATGCAGGCTCGATTTCGGATTGGTTTTGTTCGATAATGCGAAAAGTGAAAATAAACCATAAATGATACGGATTCGCGGCAGTAGGAATTGATTCCATATTAAAGCCAAACATTTATCAGCAGATTTTAAATTAATTTTAATTGCCAAGCTTAAATAAGTAAGAATCCTATACCCAGGTGCTGTGGAACGAGTAGGTGACTGCTAAAAATAAACAACAACTTATTACTTTATGAGTTAAATAATCGTAGAAGAAAAACAAAATTATTTATTTATACACGCAACTAAAATTTGTTTTAAATATTGAAGTCAAAGTTAAGAGTGTTACTAAAAATATAAATAAATTCGCGCACACTTTAAATGCTAGCACTTTCTTTGTTACATTTTGTGCCGTGCGCAACAATAAGTGCAAAAAATTATTAAATGTTTCATCAAAGATTTGATAGCACCAAATTTTTTAGCAAAAACAATAAAAATAAATGCTATGGTAATGCGTAAGATCATCAACCATCTAGATGACAAATTTAATGCGTAATAACTAAGATTGTAATTATGAAATATTTTACAGGTAAGAGGTAAATTGTCAAAATGGTCTCACAATACAAATTCCTGTTTGCTGTTGTTTTCCAATTATTTGTTAAAACTGAAAGGCAAAAATAGGTTAAAAAAAATTTTTTTAACATATGTGTTATGTGACAAACTGCATTTACCAGAACATTCATGTTTTGGGTGTTAATTATTAAAAAAAAAAAATTAGAACGACCATATATATTAATGTAGGAGTACTTCAATAAGAATTCTATATGGATAGATATGTACATATACATATGTATGTACATAGTGTCCCTGCAGTACCTGTCATCAGTAATTCATCAACGTTTCATCAACAGCGAAGGGGGTGCTGTTGATGATTCATCGATGACAGCCCATACAAACTGTTGATGAATTTAACATGGGCATGTCCTAGGCTGTCATCAATAGAAATTCATCAACAATAAATCGATGATTCATCATCAATTCATCGATGTATTGTTGATGACACATCGATGAAACATCGATGTTTCATCAACAATTCATCGATGTTTCATCATCAATTCATCGATGTTTCATCAACAATTCATCATCAATTCATCGATGTATTGTTGATGACACATCGATGAAACATCGATGAATTGTTGATGAAACATCGATGATACATCGATGAAACATCGATGATACATCGATGAAACATCGATGATACATCGATGAAACATCGATGAAACATCGATGTGTCATCAACAATTCATCGATGTTTCATCAACAATTCATCGATGTGTCATCAATAATAAATTAATTAAAAAACATAAATAAGGGATTTCATATTTCAATTCATTCATTTTTATTATATCCTCTTAAAAACTAACATAATAAAATTAAAATTATACATAAAATAATAAAAATAATCAAATTAAAAATATTTCTTATAATAATACAAAATAAATTTTAAAAAATAATAATAATTATAATAATTAACATTAAAAATTAAATATTAATGTATTGAAAAACGCTCGGACCACATTCTAACACGTCTTCATCCCTTTTCCTTTTTTTATGTTGCGCCTCCAAATTTTTTGCGCAAGGAAGGCTTTTAGTTAAACGGTTGGCAAGTGGCTCCGTTGCATCAACTTGACTTATTGCATCTGAAAAGGAAAATTTGGAAAATAAATTGATATCAAAATCTAAAAAAAAATACATAATTACCTAAGAGTGCAGAGTAGAACTTCTTATGGTCTCGAAGCCTTTTCTTACACTTCGCACCATCGATGTATCACAATAGCTGCGTGCAGACACGAAGTGGGAGGACGGGAAGATGTACTCAAAATAGAAGACAGAATTGATACGAAAGTAAACTTTTTTTTAATCTTTACATAAAAACTCACCTGATATATAATTTCAATTATTGAAAACTAAACAGAATATTTATATACATATGTATGTAAATTTTTTTTTTAATTTGGCCTGCGCAGTGCGCACACTTCTCACTTAGTTCACTGTTTAACTGCAAGTGAAAACACGAATAAGCAATAGAAAAAAAAGGACTGTGCCTCCAACAACAAAACGAACCACGATCCGGAAAAACGGATCCTCAAGTCCGTTTTTTTTCTCTTATTGTTCGTTTCGTTTCACAAAGTCCCGTTTGGCTATCTTGTGTCCGAGTGTTTTGCTTCCTTGTAAACAGGGTATAAAGGATATATCCGACGAGGCAACAAGTTACTTAAAATGTTATTGCAGCTCAAACAATTTTGTTCTATTTGCAATTATTTTTTCATTCGCGTTTTATATTTAAAGAATATTTATTCCTAATACCATCATTATAATTGTTAATGATAATATATTATACACATAAAAATGCTAAATTTCTAGGGTGCGAAACAGTTGGTTCGATTTTAATTGTTAACTTATTTGCTTTTGGCTCATCTCACTCGTTTGAAGAGTGAGTGAGGCAGTGAGATAGGCAATCACCATGGCAGCATTAGAGCGTAGGCTCCGTACAAGTCGCAGTCGGCAGAGCGTCGACTTTATAGAAGTCGCAGCCGGCAGAGCGTCGACTCGGTAGAAGTCGCAGTCGGCAGAGCGTCGACTCTATAGAAGTCGCAGTCGGCGCGTTGATGACGGGTTGATGACAGTGGCTATTGATGACACGCGGTACTGCAGGGGTGCGTCAAATTAACTTCAGTGAGTTAGCGTCGAATTGAAACGATGGGAGAATGGAACATGGGGATTTTTATACCCATGCTGGGTACAATAAATGCAGTAAGAAGTTTTTAAAGCATTGAAGAAGTCACCACCGTCCGTTTCTACGGAGAGAAGTCTCTTAGTAGCAATCTGAATGAAATTGTATAGTTGGTCTTCTCACTCGTATAAATGTCGGATCGGACGACTACATCGTATAGCTGTCTTGGGAACAATCGGAAAATTGTTAGAAAAAAATTATAATTTTTACAGTTTTCAACAGATTTGATTAAATTTAAGATATAGCCATTTAATATTTTTCTACAATTTCGTGATAAGTTTTATAAAAATCGGACGACTATATAGGTGCCATATAAACGATCGTTAGATAAGAGGAAAATGAAATACTTTGAATGTTAGACTGTAAATATAATATCGAAAGGTGAATTAATTGAAAGCACGCATTACCTAATACGAACAACTAATACAAACAATATAAAGTTCCATCATATTAAAATTTATATTTACTAATTGTTTATTTTGCGTATACACAAATTTAAGTAACAGAAGTCGTTCAATAATCCATTGGAAAAATAAAATCTCCATATTTTTCGATATTGGTAAGGTAACGGAGCTTCGCTTTCAGATAATGAATCTAATAGAGATTGTTTGGTTAAAATGTAATTAAAATAGTATCGACAGATTTTGAGAAAATCGTGATTTCATCAAAAGCCGTTCAGTCGTTCAAAAAGAAACCCACTTTTCATTTATTTATGTGTATGTTACAGCCCTGGAAACTTAAAAATTAAAACATTTAATTTAATCTTTATGAAGGGATTTATACAAAAAGAAAATTGATACAAAATAAACGGCATCGCAGTTCTAAACAATTTTTTTTTAATCCGATCAGTCGATTATTCAGGAAATTAGTTGTAGGGAAAATTCATTTTAAAATTCACGATTTTATACACTGTTTACTCACTGAAAATTAAAAAAAAAAAAAAATGACGCCTTTTTAAATGTTTTTGATTTTTTGAATGCGAAACTATGTAGTTAATTGCTTATTTTAAATGAGTATGTACAAAAACAAAACAACCAAAGGAACACAGTCAAAGCAACAACAAACAAAATTGGCACTGTCAAAAAACTCTTTACACACCAGAGAACTGCAACGATCAACATTTTTACGATCTTACCCGATCACTTACTCGGATTTTTTGCGACGCAATACTTTGCATCAACAAAATTGTATGATCGTTAACAAGCATGTTCGAAACGAATATTCAGTTCCGATCACTCTTGCCTGGTTTCGTTATGATTACTTTTATTCAAACGTTTTGTGTGAATTGCAAATAATGATCGAGACTTCTCCTTGCGGTCAGGTGTTACTTACAGTTAGAAATAGAAAAAAATCGTTTTTTTGTATTTTATTTTCTTAATGTTAATATATTTAAGAATAAACACAGAAAGTTTCATTTAGTTCCGATGAATATTTCCTAAGTTATAAGTAAGCTTGAAAAGGCGTTTCCGAGTGCTCTATGTAAAGTGCTCCTATTTAAAGTGCATTCCAAACTTTAAACGTCTTTTTCTCAAAATAGTGTTTTCAAAGTCACTGACCAATATTTCTCGAAAACGGCTAGCCCTATTAGTCTCAAATTTTAACACGACCTTCTTAAATATATTTTTTAGTAATTAATCGAAGATTTTTCTCTCCAATAAATGTTTTACTTTTTATAAACAATTTAAGGCGAAACTGCCATTTTGTCAAACAATATTATTATGCTTATTCCTTCGATTAATTACTATATTTGATATTACTCTAAAGAAATCAGTTTGCTTTTTTAATTTCGGATGATCCAGTTCCGGCATATGGTGGTCACCGCAAAACGTATTTTTTCCAAATAAATATTTTTGCTAGTTCTTACTCTTAAAATACAGTTAAAAGATACTAATATGGATCAATAAGTTAATAAGTTTCTTTAGAAAACTTTCTGAAAAATTCATTTTTTTTTTTGGCCTTCTAACTGTACGTAACCCCTTCAGGCCGATCACAATCATTCATTTTGGTCACACCGAGTTTGATTTAATCCGATTATCCCATTTACCCATTTGATCGGTTGCCGAATTCGCATAATTATGGAGAGTGAATCTATGAATAGCGTTGCT